CAGGATTGCCTGCATGGAATTTCTCCCTCCCGCCACCCGATCACCTTTTTGAACAGAAGGCGTGCAAGTGAGTCCCGACTTGCGTGAAGTCCAGGCTTCCTTTCGGGCCTCGCCACGCCCCCCACCGCCTCCCCCCCTGCAAGCTTGCAGGCCTGCTGGAGTCCAGAGACTATAGCTGTCTCCCGTCCAGGACGGCCGCTCCCCGTCGCCGATCCCCGGGCATGGTCCCAAACTCCTGGTCATTTCTGGAACCCAGCCAAAGTCTGAGATTGGGGTCGCCGTACCCCCCGTTGGATCATGGGCAACGGCAGGGGGGATGTACAACTCAACAGCTGCACGCCAAATAAAAAGTCGTGGCCCTCCGTAGCCATTTTGGCTCAAGATACAAGCACCCCTACAAATTACACAAGCCCTTTGGAGTGAGCTGTTTTTTGTTCACGCCTCCCCAGACATGGGTGTGATGCCGTCCGCCGTGTTTTCTGTGTCTTTTCTGTTGTCCACGGGGGTTTGCTGCGCAACTGAGCTGAAGACCTACATGGCCCGGACGGACGGGTGGGTCATTGATTCGGCAAGCGCACGCTCCTGCACTGCGATATGCAGCGAGGTCGGCAAGACGTGCACAGCTGCGAGCGAGACGATCATGACTAACGCCGCTGCGTCGGCAAGTGCCCTCAAGACCGCCCTCGGCAGCCAGTTCTCCACATTCTGCCCAGGTGGTGTCCAGGACACGAATCCCAGTGACGACGTGCCCTTTCTGTTTGCCCCGGGCAACTTCTGCGAGTACGGCCGCGGGAGCTACAGATCGAGGTGCGAGACTGCAGGTGAATCTTGGCAGGTGCGGCGGATCTGCTACTGCCAGGCAACGCCGGCGCCTTCGCCAGCGCCGCGGCGCCTTCGCCAGCGCCGACGCCCGCACCATCGGCTTCGCCAACGCCAGTACCGACGCCCGCGACCCCCTCACCGACGCCTGCACCTACGCAGGCGCCGACGCCTGCCCCTACGCCAGCCCGTACGCCTGCTGCGATTGCTGCTGCAGTCGGGGATCCTCACCTGGTAAATATACACGGGGAGCGTTTTGATCTCCTCAAAGATGGCAGGCACTTGCTGGTCGAGGTCCCACAGTTTGCAGCGGAGAGCGCGACGCTCCTGGCCGTCGCGGCCGTGGCACAGCGTTGTGGCGACGCATGCTCGGACGTTTACTTTGTATCCATTAATGTGACCGGCAAGTGGGCGGACGACGTGCGCGAGGGCGGCTTCCATTACACGGCCAAGCAGCCGCAGGCCCATCGAAAGGGAACGGGCTGGATGAGCTTCCACAGCATTAAATTGAAGACCGTATGGGGCCGTACTGGCGGAGGCATTCCCTACCTGAATATGTTTGTCAAGAACTTGGGCAAGTCGGGGTATCCAGTCGGTGGTTTGCTCGGCGGTGGGGACCATTCCTCCGTCACCAATCCCGATTTGCGCTGCAAGCGCTACCTCGCATTTTAAGCGGACTTAGGACTCAGGACTCAGGACAGAGAATTCGTGCGCGAACCAAGCATGTCCATCTGTCGTTCAAGTGCCGTGTGGGAGCAATAATGCTGGGGTTTTTAGTTGCGTGGCACTGCAGCCCAAGGTAGCAGCGCATTTTCACGCAGCAATGTCCAGCGAGCTGCAGCCCAAGGTAGCAGCTCATGTACAGTGCTGGCCGCTGCATCCCCGGCACCTTCTGCTGAGAACACAAGCCATTGTGGTTCTTTCAGCGCAAGCACGCCATGAACGCTGTCTGCAGGCGTTTGGCCTCTGACACTCTCGGGCGTAAGCGGACTGCGTTCTTGAAAGGTGTGTGGGACTCATTTTGTCGCCTCGTCCTTGCGAGGCGTGAGAAAAAAATTAGCCTGGCGAAGGACCCAACCATATGCAGTTGAGAGTACCGCAATTGTGAATATCTTCTTCGGTGGCGCTCCCTATGGGGCCACGAGCCGTATGAGGGGTGTGCCGAAATGCGTGGCAGTGTACACAACACGAACGAAGACGATAGGTCCGAATATGAAAGTTTGAGCGCGTGCGAGTCGGATCGCGAGCGAGTCTGATGATGAATGAATCTGCGCGCGATTGATTCTATTCGCATGAATGCGTGCATGGATACGCCCAGTGTAAATGTATGTATACGACTGTGAACAGTTTGGGTCTGCGTGACTCTCGGTACTCGTGACTCTGAGCGTCGCCTCTGCAGGGGGCTTCCCTGGGAACCCCGACGGCAGCGCCCGCGCGCCGCGACGCCCATGTCGGCACGCCACACACCTGGTGTGCGGGACGCATGCGGACGGCAGCCATGGGCCTTCGGTGGAGCTCCCTGTGGGGCCACGAAACGTGTGAGGGGTGTGTGCCGAAATGGTGTGCGACGCATGCGGGGCGGCACATGGGCCTCGGTGAGTTCCCTATGGGGCCAGTAACGTGAGAGGGGTGTGCCGAAATGGGTGTGCGGGACGCATGCGGACGGCAGCCATGGGGCCTTCGGTGGAGCTCCCTATGGGGCCACGAAACGTGTGAGGGGTGTGCCGAAATGGGTGTGCGGGACGCATGCGGACGGCAGCACTGGGGCCTTCGGTGGAGCTCCTGTGGGGCCACGAAACGTGTGAGGGGTGTGCCGAAATGGTGTGCGGGACGCATGCGGACGGCAGCCATGGGGCCTTCGGTGGAGCTCCCTGTGGGGCCACGAAACTGTGAGGGGTGTGCCGAAATGCATGCGACGCGGCCATGGGGCCTTCGGTGGAGCTCCCTATGGGGCCACGAAACGTGTGAGGGGTGTACCGAAATGCGGGACGCATGCGGACGGCAGCATTGTGTGGCCTTCGGTGGAGCTCCCTGTGGGGCCACGAAACGTGTGAGGGGTGTGCCGAAATGGGTGTGCGGGACGCATGCGAACGCAGCCACTGGGGCCTTCGTGGAGCTCCCTATGGGGCCACGAAAACGTGTGAGGGTGTGCCGAAATGGGTGTGCGGGACGCATGCGGACGGTAAGCAACTGGGGCCTCGGTGGAGCTCCCTGTGGGGCCACGAAACGTGTGAGGGGTGTGCCGAAATGGGTGTGCGGGACGCATGCGGACGGCAGCACTGGGGCCTTCGGTGGAGCTCCCTGTGGGGCCACGAAACGTGTGAGGGGTGTGCCGAAATGGGTGTGCGGGACGCATGCGGACGGCAGCCATGGGGCCTTCGGTGGAGCTCCCTATGGGCCACGAAACGTGTGAGGGGTGTGCCGACATGGGTGCGCGGACCATGCGGACGGCAGCACTGGGGCCTTCGGTGGAGCTCCCTGTGGGGCCACGAAACGTGTGAGGGGTGTGCCGAAATGGGTGTGCGGGACGCATGCGGACGGCAGCCATGGGGCCTTCGGTGGAGCTCCCTGTGGGGCCACGAAACGTGTGAGGGGTGTGCCGAAATGGGTGTGCGGGACGCATGCGGACGGCAGCACTGGGGCCTTCGGTGGAGCTCCCTGGGGCCACGAAACGTGTGAGGGGTGTGCCGAAATGGGTGTGCGGGACGCATGCGGACGGCAGCCTGGGGCCTTCGGTGGAGCTCCCTATGGGGCCACGAAACGTGTGAGGGGTGTGGAGGAGAGGAGGAGAGAGGAGGAGGAGGAGAGGAGAGAGGAGGAGAGGAGGTGGGACGCGGGGCGCTGTCTCTTCAAAACGAGGACCCAACACCGCAGGATGGTTGGGAATAATTATAAAGTGGCCGTTTTTCTTCTCTCGGATCTGCGCTGGGCCCCGGCGGGGCCAGCGCGACCCCAGGAATCCGCGCGGACCTCCGACGCGCGGCAGTCTGCCGGGCCCGCCCTTCCTGATTGGGGGGGCGAATAGCGATCCCCCCTCGCCCACGGATCGGCGCCTGCCTTGTCGGCTGCCCCGCGAAATAACATCGCCGATCGCGATGCATCGCGAAGGGCCCCCCCCCCTGGCCAGAGAGCGACCGCCAGGGAGCCGAATGCAGGCGGGGGGTTGGGCTCGGGGGGGGGGGGACGCATCGACCCCCCGTCGCCCGATCGCCGTTCGGACGGATGTCTGGTCTGTGCAGCGTGCTTGAAGTTCGCGTTGCATCTTATGAGCGGGAACGCGCTGTCTTTGCAGGGTTTATGTGCATCCACTTTTCTGTTTGCGCTGCCTTCTTCGTGTATCGTTCTCCCTATTGACTCCCGCGACAAAGCGCCAATGATGACTGACATCTAGATGTATCGGCTAGTTTGCGCTGGCCACCTTTGACCCGATGCTGTCCTGGAGGGGGTGCGTTTCCCCCCCCCCCGCTCGACCGTTGTCGTGGCGGTTGATTCTGTCGCGGCCGCCATTTGGGGCTGCTCCTTGCCGCTGCCTCCAGGCATCCGACGTCGTGATTGATTATGTTGATACGTGGTCAGAGGTCTGGACCCCTTCACACGGCCGGTTTTTTGACGCGAACCGATTTGGCCCCAGGGCTCTCGAGGCGGACACGTGCCAACAAACGTTCCGTCTTGCTTCGTTCGTGCCGCGAGGGCGTCGGTCCTTGCCGCTGACCCTCGCTTCCCTGGCCACAGGCAGCTGCCGATCCTTCGACTGAGCCTCGCAGGCGATTTCTCGGAGCCCCCCACGAAAAATCAGGCCGTTCAGAAAAGAGTGCGAGATCAGGGGGGAACAACTCTGGTGGCTAGTTGGGCTCACCCCTAGGTGTCGTCTTAGATTTGGGCAGGATTGCCTGCATGGAATTTCTCCCTCCCGCCACCCGATCACCTTTTGAACAGAAGGCGTGCAAGTGAGTCCCGACTTGCGTGAAGTCCAGGCTTCCTTTCGGGCCTCGCCACGCCCACCACCGCCCCCCCCCCCAGCAAGCATCAGGCTGCTGATCCATAACTCAAACTTGACCTCCAGACGCCCGCTCCCGCCGCGATCCTCCGGCATCCCTGCCCATCTCCTGGTCATTTCTGGAACCCAGCCAAAGTCTGAGATTGGGGTCGCCGTACCCCCCGTTGGATCATGGGCAACGGCA